CTCTCGCCTACCCGAAAATGGCTGGGCTATTCGACCAACAGACCACCAGCAGACCACGCTCACGAACACACATCACCAACACCCCGCACTCGAGTTTCGACGCTCCCGACGGCGGGCGGAGGCAGACCAAACACGACTATAGACTAATAACAACGCGGCGGAACTCTCGTTTGAAGTGGATGTCTCTCCTGCAAGCCTCCTCCTGCAACCCACCGCCGACGGCGGAAGTCTCTCGGTTTTCGTTTCATATCGGAGAGGGAGGAGAGAGCGGGCCAGGCGGGCGTCGGTGGATGGATACCTCTCAATACCTCACGTGATCACTTGAGCTGCACACAAATACATGACTCAGCTCAGATATGTCCACGGAATCATCAGGCACAGAAGCATCAGGGTGTCGCTTTCGTCTGGATAACATTTCTAGACACATCAAGACCGGAGATGTATGGCATGTTGTTGTGTACGCAGAGGGTCGTTCGTACACAGCAATGCAGGAGTAGTAAGCAGTGGATGCCGTGGTTATGTCTCGATCAAGACCCGAGATATAGTCTACGACACATTGTTGTGTAGTGTTGGATAAACCGGGTAGGCCGAAGCTTGTATAGGTTTGTGGAGAAAGGCAGCTCGGCCAGTGAGGGCCGAGATGGGAAAGTTTTGTATTAGAGGGAAGAGGGAAGGGCAGAGACCACTCGAGGCCGAGCAGCCGAAGAGTGCGTCACCACACCTATCCGTCACGCATTTCAGATCACTCATCGAATCTCCGAAGAAACCAAGCAGAAACTCCCTGTTCCTCCGCGATCTACCAACTGCAATCTCCGTAGATCCATGCCCCATATTCCGCCACATTACTATGCTACGAGTATATCTAACATGTAGGAAGAGGATCGTACAGTAGTTATGCAGGAGCAGCAAGCAGTGGATGCCGTGGGACCTCAGATTAAACAGCGACCTTGACTTCGACCTCTCGTGAGTACCCGGGAGAGACAAGGAACTGCAGGCTTGCCACAGGAGATGGGGAAAGATAAAGAGTGGTGGTACACGCAGCATGAACGGTGTGCGCGATCAAGTTGCAAGAATACCCCTCGCTTGTTGTGTCTCTGCCGCTATGCGCGCGGATGACCCATTGACAAAAACTCCAATAATGCAATGTTGCCGTCACTGTCAACCCCTGAAAGACATACTGACGGTGGTAGCAGAGAAGTACCCACTAACAAAGCTGGTCGAAGTGCGTCGTGTCGTGTGCTGCTAAGATCAAACTGCGTGACGCTACCTAGAAATCAACACTTGGAGGCTAGAGGAACCAACTCCGATTTGCATGCAACAGTTTTTTGTGGCTGGCGGTGTCACCCTGACCTGTGTGTGGTTAAAAGCACACCGTGCGTCCACAAACGAAGGGGTTGTCTTGGGGAAATACATCGTGAAAAGGAGCGTCAAGGGATTCACAAGGGTAGGTGATGCGGCTGCTGCGAAGTATCAAAAGTTTGTGGATTTTGATGTTGTTGCGCAGCCTTACTTGTACGTTGTGCCTTGGTTGAGGGCGGAAAAATAGGGGAAAGTCCAACTGACACACGAAGTCGACGCAACAGGGTGCGGAAAAGAGGAAAGACAAGACGGATGACCAAAACAAGCGCGGAGCATGAGGTAGATTCCGGAGGTGAAACACAGGAGGATCAACACGTACCGTCCCTCGTATTGGCGATAAAAGCTTTCTTTCTGGTGCCATCTGATGATCCAACTGTCAGCAGATATCTATCGTGGACTGACTGAAGAGGCGAAGATGGCACGAAATAAACAAGACGGATGGACAAAAAACAGAATGAAAAGGTGAAAACGATAAACAACCCCGGAACAGAACGAAGAGTTCGGAAATGACACACGAAACACGAGACAAATGAACGCACAGCTCTCCTAGTCGAGACAATAGCTTCTTTCCTGTCAAAGCTGCCCAAAACCGTCAGAGACGCAAAATTGTGCCCCTACTAGGTTGGCGCTACATCGAACTGACCGCCGTGCTTGTGTGAAGGGAGGTCGGTCCGCACACCCAACAGTCAAAAATCAACAGCCCGACACCATCCTGCGACAACTCGCGTGAGATTCATGCCCGGAATTTCTCAACCCAAACAAGGCGGGCCAGGCCATGCCATGCCATGCCAGGCCAGTACCGCCGCTGCTCAGCCACTTCACCGGCTCATCCCTCCGTAAAATCACAACACGAGGAAACTCTCCCGAGGAACTCCAAGAAGACACAGCAAGAGCGACAGCACAACGGACAATGGTGGTCGAAAACAGCAAACTCCGAGGCCACGAAACGCGAGGTACTTGTTACCCATCTAGTCAACGGAGATAACACCAGAATGCACGCCGCCCTGCGACAGGGCGGGAGCTCCCTGCGATGATACGGGAGCTCCCTGCGATGATGCGGGCGCTCCCTGCGACGATGCGGGCGCTCCCTGCGACGATGCAGGCGCGCCCTCAGACAGGGCGGGCATCAGGCGGACGTTGTAGGAGGACGACGAAGCGTGCTCTCCCCTGGATGGGATCCCCTTCGTCCTCGAGGGCCCCTTTTTCTTGGGGCGACCAGCCTGGTTGGGCACCCAGGGCGGAGGAAGAATGTCCACGTCAACCGCCAGCTCATCCGGCACGGGCAGCTGCACCTCGAACCGACTGTCCGCGTACAGGGCTCGGTAGGTGTCGAGGTGGTAGGCCGGGTCGATGCTTGACATGACCTCGTCGGACTTGTCCAACGCTGCGTCATTGACAAAAATAAGGGCCGGGCCGGGCGGTGGAGGAAAAGGCACATACATGAGCGTCGTGCGAGGCATCGACATGGCAGGATATTTCTTTCTTTCAAGTTGTCCGCCAACGCAGTCCCGACGAAAAGCATTGACTGAACGCAATCCTAGTGTTCCAGGACAGCGTCTATCACCCGTTCGTGCTTCCTGGAAAATAAGCTCCAACGCGTGTACCAACTTTCACGGCGGGATGAGCGGGACGGCGGGCCCCTGCGGGCTGTGGCAACACTTGACTCAGCAACACTGCACCTCTTTTCGCCGGTCAGACCGGGCTGCGCCACACTGATACGAATGCCGGAACTGTCACTGCTCACCTCGCCCGACGGCGACGATATCGCTGCATGGGATCTTGAATCCAGTCGTGTAGCCGCACGTGCAGGTCATGCGAGTCACCACGCCATCTGTCCCGAACTCCAGCCCCACTCGGTTGCCGTAGTTGCTGCCTAGTTTGCGAACAGTGAAGTTGCCGTTCCCGGTGGCGCTGGAGTGCAGGCTGTGATACGAAGACGGGCGCGAGTCGTGGGATGGACAGCAAAGGACGAAATTAGGTTGTTGTATAGTTGCCGTAGAAGGCAGACACGTCAACCCCAGCGTCAACAAAACATAAATCGGCGGAGAGATGGCAACGGTCAGAGAGGCTATAACCCGGTACCCACAACAAACAATGCCAACAACCAAACGAAGGTGAAGAAACAAGAACGGCATGATTTTATTAAACTTTTGCACCGGCGTCGGAGAAATCTCCGAACTCCAAACCCAGGATTGACGTCTTTTCGATCTGCCGAAAAGAGGCACAAGTACATGTGGTAACTTACATGTGGAACATGTGGGGACCGTGTCAGCAAAGCTGAAAAACTTGACGGATTTGTTTTCGCTATTGAAGAAGTTGCAAACCGGATACTCACCCAAGCACACAACATACGCATACAACCCGAAACTACTGCTGCTGGCGTGTGTGCGCAACAGGGCCTCATGGGTATGTTACTGGAGATAGCACCGGCCTTTGACATCGCACCGGGGTGCCTCAAAAAACCTCAGCGATATCATGGATTTGTGGAAGGCCCTTTGTGGAATTTACGCACCGGGGGCGAAGAGATGGCGCCGGGTGCCAAAAAAGCGAAAAAAAATGTGTCAAACAACGATTGCACGTGTCATCTCGCCGCCTTCTACGAGACACATATCAATGAAGCCACTCAAAACGTCTAGATGCAGACTGACTTTGTCCCGAAACGCTTAGCCAAATGCCTCGTGGAGAACGGTAGCACAAGCCGTCTCCTCGCCAGACGCAGGCAATGGTCTGTACACTTACTTGCCGGACTTCGCGCGCTGAGCCTCGAACTCCTTAGCAGCGAAAGGGGTAAACCTCTGCGAGGCGCTGTTGACAAGTTCAGCCCTCTCTGCCATCTGGGAGGCGGTCTTGCCCAGGATGTGCTGGGCCATGTTGTAGGGCGGCAACTTCCTCTCCTGTGAATGAAGTAACGGTGACACTGTTGGGACCTTGGTGACGAGACCAGATATCTTGACTCGTTTTGGCTGCTGACATCATTCCCGATTCTTGACGTACTCAAGCACGACGTCTTCCCTGTCGTGCTTGCTTGGTGGCCTGTACAAGACGTGCGCACTTCTTATGGTGAATGAGAGCAGAACTAATGTGTGAAGACATTTTGACGCGAAGGGCGAAACGCCGCCGCACCCTGCGTGTTCAGGAGGTCGACCTACCACAACGTACAAAGGTCGGCACGCCGCCGACCTAAGGGAGAGTTAGTACCGCGTCCGCCGCCCCGTCAACGTCACTTGCCCTCACCATTCCTCAACATCACTCGCCCTCACCATTTCTCAACGTCACTCTTGAAATAACCACGCTGTCAAAGATTTGGTCCGCGTGCTCGCCACCAATTGAAAATACCACTCAACACGATGGGGTGATGAGGCCACACTAAAGCACGCTCGACTCGCCAAGAGTAGAAATAATCAAGTTGTCTCTAACTGCGTTCGCCGAGGACAAACTTCGACAGCCGTCACTTGGGACGTCGGTCGAACAAACGCTAAAAAGCTGTTGGGACACCCGTCCAACCCCTACGAACAATCAACCCTTACCTGCAGGCCTACCATAGCCATGTTTTGCTCGGCCGCGTCGGACGATACGACACCCCCGATGGCTGTGTCGGTGGGTCCAGCGTGGTGCGTCCACCTGACAAGTTCGTGGGGTTTGTTCGAGTCCAATAGAGCGGCGTAGGCTTTGGGCTTCGTTGGCTTGACCTTGGTGTCCATGATGTCCATGAACTTGGTGCGGGTTGGCGCCCTGGCTGCGTGGTAAAGCCAGTGGGTCACAGTCTACCGAGGCAAACGAGAGCACATGAAAAGTCGGGAGAAGAACAGTATGTCAGGACACGCATTCTGTTTTGAGGGAAAAGCTACGGGCCCGCTAGATCGTCGCAAAAAATATACGGTATTGTTCGTGTGTCTGGATACGAGCATGGTAGATCTGCTAGCAGCACGGGGGGGGGTACGAAGACAGGAGCATGCGTATGCCTGAAAAGGGCTACTATGTGTGGGCCCCCTTCCCCGAATTCGGGAGGGCCACTTCTTCCCTTCCTTTCCTCGCTCCCGCGGGTTCCTAATCAGAGAGAGTTAAAGCGTGTCTTCTCCTCCCACGTACGGACATACCAACACACTAGTGTTTATTCCCTCGAGGGAGTCCATTAGGGATGACGGGCTGCAGAACCGGAGGGACCACTCCGGACGGCTCGCAGGCAGGAGACACAAATAGCAGCGAGCAGATNCCTTGTTTCAGCAGGGCCATGGAAAGTGGTGCTGCTGTCTTCGGTAGTGCGAGCGTGGGGTACCAAAGCGTGAAGT